AAAATAATTATTTAAAAAGTTCTCTCCTTTTTCTCACTGATAGAAGAACTCTTATAGAACACCCACACGAGCTCTAAAGGCAAGAAGGATGAATGCAAATCTGTGAATGTGTCAAACAGATGTGAGACACGGATATTATCAGACCTTCATTGAGCCACCTGAAAACCTTCCTCCCTCCATATCTCCAAATCATCATTCCTCCTGAAGCAGCAAAGTCATTCAGCCTTAATTAACTATTTGAAAGAAGCATCAGAAAGAAATTAGCACAATGTTTTCATCTTTATCTTCTCATCTCTCTCCTTTCTCTCTCTCTAAGTTAGCAGCTAATTCAAAGACAGTATATTAAAGAAATAATATTGTATTTGCAGAGCAGTTAATGATTGCTTAAAAAATATTATCTTAAACAAATCTGGAGAGCAAATAACATCAATCATTTACTCCATCATCACCTGGTTGCAGACTCACTTGTGCAACATGGTTCCAAACTAAAGCAAACAACCTACAAATCAGTCATCTTTATTTTTATAAATTAATTTGTGGTTGTAATAACAGTTTAATGTGATCTTTTAAATAAAAAAATTCATACAAAGCTATCTCATTGTTATTCATTGTATCCAAAAGACTATTTGTTTTTCCCCTATGGCTACATTAGCCTTTACTTGTTCCTCTCAAAAGAATGTTGGACATTTTGCATAACTGACATTAATTTTATGGGATAATGTAGTTATTGTTAAGATCACACAGGCTTGTAATGTAGTGGTTCCCAAAGTTGGAGTTAGGACTCCAAGTGGGTTTGGAAACACAGAAACGAAGGTATTGATGTATGATCTCCAGAAATGTATAAATTCAATTCAGTTTAATTTTATATTGCCAAATCACAAGAGTCATCTCAAGGCACTTCACAAAACAAACAATTCAATTCAACCTACTTACTAGTGCTTTATGCTAATTAAATGTTTACCATGTAGGCTGGGCGAGCACTGTGCGACTTTTTCACCCGTAGCACTCAGCTTCAGCTCAAACTGTACGATTTCCTCGCAGGGCAGATCTCACGAGTCATGTGCTCACACTGTATGACCCGGTTCTCAGATGCGACCTGACTGCTCACACTGGAAGCAACACGTCGGACTTAAAATATATGCTGAAAATAGTAGTTTTTACACAACATGTCAGACTTTTGTCTTGTTTTGCCTGTTGTCCTTCGGGAGTGCTGCAGGAGGACACACGTGGATTTATGGGGGTTGGATGAGGAAAACGAAAT